TGTTACAGGTTCAGGGCCTAACAGCAACTATCTTGGGCCATCTTTAGCCCTCTAAACAGCCATTCCTTGCCCACCTCTGGGTTGAACCTAATTTTCTAAGACAAACAGATAAAAGCCTTTTGGAACATGTTGATCTGGCAGATGTCTAGCTTCCATCAACTCCAAAGCGAAGACTGCCATCAGGCATCAGCTGTGTCCATAGCCTGGATTCCTCTGCTTTGTGGCAACTGTCTCTCTGACGTCTCCATCAGCATGTTTGGAAAGGACCTTGATAAATGACTCTTGATCCTGTGGCTGTAAAACCTTCATGAATGTACTTCATACTGGAACATGGAGTTTGGGGCAGCCTAAGCCTGTGTTCCTGGGCCACGGTCACTCAAATTTAGCTTCGGAATCATCGCTCTCCTATCCCCTTTAAGGAGAGAGTTGTTTTTGCATTGACATATCCTAATTGGTGTAAATTGCCTCTCTGTGGGTTGGCTTGGCTTTTCAGTGAGAAAACGGATCTGAACTGTGTCCCTTACACATTTTGCCTCTCCTTTGAGCTCCTGTTTATCTACCCTCTTCCCCCGGGTCCAACAGCTGCCTCTCTGTCATGCCCCCTCCCCTTGTTTGATTCTCGGCACTGGGAAAAGCAAAACAAAACCAGGTGGTTTCTGCTTCAGCTACAGATTGGCATATCCTAGACCAATCGGGGCAGTGGTAATGGACATAGATGGATATGGATCCAGGGTGATGTGTGCAGTGAGTGATTGACAAGGCGTGGGTAATAAGGGTCTGGTTCCCACCCCTGCCGGGTTTCATGTCTGGGTGGGCAGGTACCTGCCATTGTGAGACAGGAAGTGTTCCAAGGAGCCAATGGGATTGTGTGTCTGGGCTGAAGGTCATACTTGAGACTGCTTAGTGAACATGTGACAGTTCTGATGTCTAGGACAGTCCTGATGTCTACCTACTGTGCCAACGTCATTACACTTGTTACTCCAGGCTCTCAGAAGCAGGTCTGCGGTGACTAGGTGCCCTGCCACCCACTACACATAAGGACAACTGGCAGAAGAGGGGATCCTGGAAGGACACTATGGCCCCAGTAGGACAGCAAGGAGGATGGTGGGGGGGCTTGGGTGATGTGGGATTCCCCTCTGTATGCTGTGAATACCATTGGTTAATAAAGAAACTGTCTTGGGCCTGCGCAGGGAATAGAGGTAGACGGGGAGGGGAGAGGGATGGGGAAGGGGGACTAAACTGAATGCTTGAAGAAGGAAGGCCGAGTCAGGAGAAGACATGTATCCCCATTGGAGACAGACACAGGAACTTTACCCAGTAAGCCACAGCCTCGTGGCAATACACAGATTAATAGAAATGGGTTGAATTAATATATAAGGGTTAGCCAATAAGCTAACATCTAGCTAGAGCTAATGGGTCAAGCAGTGTTTTAAATAATACAGTTTCTGTGTGATTATTTCAGGGCTGAGCAGCCAGGAACAAACAAGCGGCCCTCCAACAACAAAGTGGTACCCATGTGGCCAACTAAAATCCACTTAAAACCTGAGAGGGCCTTTCAGCTGTGTGTGTGTTAGTGATGAGAATCTGTGTTTGTTCCCAAAAACCTCAGCTTTTCTGCTTATAAAATGACAGTCAGCTCACAGATCCAAGTGGGCAAAGATTCTAATTCAAACTCCTGGCAGTGGCTGAGTACCCTCACCGGGTGTGGCAGGGCTGTCCGCAGCACTGAGGAATGCTTCCACGCACGAGATGCCAGTAGTGACTCCCAGAATGAAAGGATAACCCCCGCCCAGACATTGCCAAAAGCACCCCCGAAGAACCTCGCTTCCATGCTCTCTGTAAATATGCTCACTAAAACCACCATATAGGATGCCATGCTGCTGTCCAATGTGGCCAATATAAAGTATTTCGTAAAATGGAGAGGTCACTAGATGAACCCATAAAGTGAGAGCCCAGGGTTTAGGGCACACAGTGGAGACATTTGTTGGGGATAGTAGAAAGGCCTCAGATTTGACTTCCAGATTGAGCCGACAGTTTTGAACACTTGCAAGTCCCTTTAACTACCTGGGGTGGAGCGGGGTGGGGGTGGGTGGGGTGGGGCGGGCTTGCTGATACTGAAAGGAGGAGCAACCAAAGGACCAAGAGGCTAGTCTGGGGGCCTTGAGAGTGAACTTCTAAGATGTCAGGAGTTCTGACTGGGGAGAACCACATGAGGACAGTTTGGACTGGCTAGGGAGGCCATTCTTCTTGCCTTGCTGGGACATCGCTGGCTTCATCACTTCAAATCCCACATCCGATACTCAGGAAACTTTTCTACAGTTGCTCCTGCTATTCGGACTCCAGGTTCCACACTCTCCCTGGGAGATGAAGCCTGCCTGCTGGCCCAGCTACCCCTGGTCTCCTCATCAGCCTCCTTTCAGACACACCAGGCTGGTGACCTCATTTAGGTATTGAGTAGAAATAGAACAGCAGCCCTAATTAGCTCAGCAGCAGGACTTGCAAATGGGCCACAGCCTCTGATGTTCCAGGATGGGGAAAATTCCATTCACTTGTCCTCCATTGGTGGGCCGGGGTGTGAGGTCCCTTTCCCTGGGGATGCATCAAACTGTGCCATTGCTCATGAGACCACTGAGGGCGGGGAGGCACAGCTCCTCCCCAGAGATGCTGATTCTGTGGGTTTGGGATTGGATCGGGGAGAACTTGCATATTTCATGTCACCCTCAGTGACACGATCATCCCAGCTGGCAGTACAACACAGTGGGACCCTACCCTGTGTCCCCCGAGGGCAGGGGCCCAAAGCACTTGTTTACAGCGCCCGCCTCAAAGGACAGCTGAGGGGTCAATGTCTGAGTGGGACTTGCCCCAGCGTTGGGCACAGGGCTGCCACTGTAAGCCAGCCTCTTCTGCTGTCTACTCAAAACAGTGGCCTCTGTCACGGGCGGGCAGACGGTACAAGAGGTCCCTGACTGGAAGCTAAGGGACTTGTGTGATTCAGCCAGGTAATGCTTTCTTTTCTCTTTGTCTCTGTCCCCTGAAAGCAGGCAAAGGGATCCAGGATCCAGCAGGTCTCTCTGGGTCCTATGTGCTGACCTGGGCTATGTTCCCACGTTCAGACTGAAGCTTGGCTCTCAGTGAGCAGAGCCCAGGCTGCAGGGCTCCCTGTGAGTAACTGTTTCTAGGCAGTCAGAATGTGGATCAGTCTATGTTGGGGATGCCCTTCTGACACACTGCCAGTTATAGCCCCAGAAACCATCCCAGGAACTAGGGCTGAGAGGGGGAGATTCTCAAAGTCCCCCTGCCCATCTGTACCCTCACATCCTTCCCAGTCCTGTGGCCACCACCCTCTCTGACTTGCCCCTCTCTCTTTTGTCCTGCCCCCTTGTGGGAAGGAGGGTGCTCACTTTGGCTAGAGTGGAGGGGCAGAGATAGGGTGTGTTCAGCATTAAGCAATCACAATGCCCTGGGCTTCATCTCCACCACTGTGAAAATAAAGGAACAAATTAATAATAAACTAATTGCTTAAAATAAAAACAAAGGAGTAGCTGGGAAGATGGTTCAGTTGTTAAAGGGACAGCCACAAAAAAATATGAGGATTCAGGCTCAATCCTTAGAACCCACTGAAAAAGGGTTGGGTGAGGTGGTGTGTACTTTGAATTCCAGAGCTGGGGAGGTAGAGAGCGGAGGATCCCTGGGGTTTGCTTGTCAACCTCTAGGTTCAGTGAAAGGCTGTGTCGTGAAAAGTAAGGTCAAGAGAGAGACTGATGTAGGCACCTGGCGTCAACTTTTGTCCTCTTCATCTACCCTGTGATACATGAGCACACACATGTAAATGTACACACACACACACACACAAACACACACATGCACGCACGCACGCACATGCACACGCGCAGAGTAGAGGAACTCCAGATATAGCCTCGGCTTTATCTGGATTGTAGAGCTAGTTCCTCTCTTCCTTGAATGGTTCACTGGGCTCTAGGACTTAGCTTGCCCACTTGCAAGGGGTACAGTGCAGGATGGAGCAATGGAAGTCCCCACCCTCTGTGACTCTCAAAGGCATCTGGTCATATCCTTGGTCCCCAGTCACTTGGTTAAGGCTGTTTGTTATGTACGTTTTGTGACAATCCTGGGAGCAACATGCGTAGGGAGAGGCAAGGCTCAAATACATAGAGCTTGCTTTGTCTCCTGCCTAAGCTTGCACAGAAAGAAACCCACCTTCTTCCCCTCTAGAAAAGGAAACAGGAAGTAAGCAGGACAGTGTGTCTGTGACTGTGGCCATAGGGAGTCATTAGAAAGAGACCCATTTGCCAGGCTAACATCATCCCCCGGGGCCAACAGTCTCTGCATCAGGACAGCGAGAACGGCTGCAGCCAGGGCAGGAGCCCTGGGTGACCACTCAGCTTTGCATCCCACAGTAAGGAAGTGGGACTCAGCCTGGCATAGTGCCACCTAATCAGCCATGGACTTGGGGAGGAACTGTGGGGTTCTGGAGCTCCCGCTCTCAGCAAATCTCAGAATCAGTCTTCGGGAGAGAATTGTTTGCTGAGTTGCCTTTGTGCTAACTAAATCCCGGCCCCTGTGCTGGCAGGAGATTGCTTCTCGCCAGGGCAACTCAACACCGTCTACAAATATTGGACCAAGAGGCAAAGACACTGCCTGCACCAGTTTTCGGAAGGAAGTGATGGGTAGGCGCCAATGCAAGAATGCAGCCAACAACCTAAAAAGCAATATGGCAACACCAGAACCTAGCGGTCCTACAGCAGGGAGACCTGGACAATATAACTCAGAAGTGGAAGAAAATGAATGACTTTAACTAGAGCCTTATGAAGATGACAGAGACCCTTAAAGAGGAAATGAAAAAAATCCCTTAAAGAAATGGAGGAAAAGACGAACAAAAAAGTTGAAAGAAATCAATAAATCTCTTAAAGAAAACTAAGAAAACTAATAAAAAAAAACAGTCCGATAGGTGAAGTAAATAGTTCAAGACTTGAAAACTGAAATAGAGGCAATAAAGAAAAACACAAACCGAGGGAATTCTGGAAATAAAAAAATCTGGGTAAACAAACAGGAACTACAGATGCTTGCATAGCCAACAGAATATGGAAGAGAAACTCTCAGGAGTTAAAGATATGATAGAGGAAATAGATTCATCAGTCAAAGAAAACGTGAAATCCAAAAAACTCTTAACACAAACATCCAGGAAATCGCTTCTTTGATCTTTACCTATGAGGTATGCGAGGTGGAGCTGGTTTCTTCCTTTATAGACAGCATGGGAAGGCTCAGCGAGAGGGTGGCTAGGACATACTTAGGTCCCGTGGAGCTTGGGTCATCTAAGAGGTAGCTCTGGGACCTCAGAGATGCTGCAGAAAGATACTGCCAAGTCAACAGGCACTCGGGATGGGGAGGCCTGTGGTGGGAGGCACAAACCACAGAAGGAAACAGAAGCTAGGGTTGGATGCCCTGTGGCTGTGGGACTCCAGGGGGCTCAGCAACAGGCTGGAAGGGTCCTGAAGTCAGTACAGAGAGGACTGGGGAGCGGGAGAGAAAGAGAGACCCTACGAGAGGTCTGAACCTCACAGCCGAGTTTTCCCATAGGCGCTGGAATGGGTCATGCTCCTTTAGAGAATAATGGGCAGCCATAGTGGGGAGAGATCCCTGTGGGGAGCTAGTAGGAGTCAGGGTCCTCTTCCTTGGCTTGCACAGTCCTTGCTGGGCCATGAACAGGACACTTGGCAGTTGGAAAAGCAGCTGTGAATGGGACAGGCAATGGTGGCATCTGATGGGAGTGAAACAGAGAAATAAGGAAGTGGGTAGGGCATGCTCTCAAGCCTGGCTCCTGCTCTGTCCGCCGTGCCTTCCCTGGCATGTGAAAGCCAGATTCTAGTTCTGACAGCCCTTAGGAATGAGCCGAGCTGAGAGCCCAAAGGGGCAGTCTGGGTTAAGGGACTATCCAGTTGCTCAGCTGGGGCTTTAAACAAGAGGAAGCCAGCCGTGACTCAGCTTTCTTTTCCCCTTTTCCTCCCCGCTCCCTAGTCCAGTTCTGCCTCCCCCAGCCCAGATCTTAACAGAAGGTCTGTGGCATGGGCAGGGCAGAAACCATAATCCCCATTTACAAGCGGGAGAGGTGAGACTCAGGCCACTTCCCCCACTACCTCCCAACACTACCATACTGTCCCAGGAAAGGACTAAGGCTGAGGCAACGTGACCCAGCCCTGAAGCTAAGCCCATTCTTCTCAGAATACACCTCGGCCCAGAGTAACCTGAGCACTTGGCTCTGGCCCCCGGCGGTAAAGTAGCCGGTAGGATCAGCAAGGAAGGAGTGTCCGGGCCTTTAGGACGAGGCTTCTGTAGCCTCTAGCCTTTGGGGACAAGGGTTTAAATTCGTTCTAGTTTATTTGATGAACATGTTCTCAACATCCAGTCTGCCGCTACTGAATAAGTGGTCGGTGGCAGTGTGGGGAGGGTTGTCACCTGCTGGGCTATTGGCATAACCAGAAGAGTAGGGATAGAGCGAGGAGGTGGGTTTCAGACATAGGCTGTTCGAGATGCAGAATGGGCATAAAGGGTCATAGACAGCATGACAGCCTTTACCGAAGGGGCCCAGTCCCCAGCTGGAGACTACGCCTTTGCCTGCCATAGCTAGCTAGGCTTCTGCCCTCTGCTGGTCAATGCCCTCCACACAGGGTTTGGCATCCAAAGCGGACATGCTTAGCAGTAAGTTCCCCAACTCCCAACCCTCCTGCTGCCCTATGAGGGCAAGGAGAGGGCAGAAAAGCTGGTTAGGGGAAGAACTGAACTGGGGTTCCATGTAGGCATCGACAGTCCTGCTCCTATGGGGCTCCTTGGCACCATCTAGGCTGTCACCTCCAACATGATATTTTTGCATTGAGCCACCCCATCCCAAGCAGCCCAAGATACCCACTCTTTCTACTTAAGGCTTTTTGCTGGCAGGCGGCTGTTGGCCCAAGCCTTTGTCTCACTGCAAGGGAGGGCTAACGGTACGTGCTGACCCTGGCTTTGGGCAGGCTCGTGGTGGTAGAAGCTGGGTCTCTCTTGCCTGGAAGCTTGTTCTCTCCTCCAGTACTAGAGGTGTGAGGACCACAGTGGTCCACAGATGTGAAGGGTCAGGGAAGTGGGAAGTCATGGAAAGCTGAGGGTGAAGCCTGCCCAGGCATCTCCTTCGGTGTCACCAGGCGGCCTTTGGTGTCTTCTCCCAGCTGCACTGTGTGTCATCTTTCCCAGGGCCGCTGTCACAGGGGTGGCATGATTGCCTGTGATTAAGAAGGGCAAGGCAATGGGCTCAGGAAGCGCTGGATGCAGCCTGTAAAACCTTCACTGGTGCTCGCCCTTCCTTCCTTCCTTCCTTCCTTCCTTCCTTCTTTCTTTCCTTCCTTCTTTCTTTCTTTCTTTCTTTCTTTCTTTCTTTCTGTTTTACCTGCTGTGTTTGTGTGCAGCTTTGCTCTCCCCCTGGGTAGACATCTTCTTCACAGCCAGGAACCCATGGTCCCCAGCACCCTGAGCCTCCCACCTGAAAGCTGCTGCTTTTGGGGACAACCCCTAGTTGTCGCTGCTTCTCCAGATGCCACTCTGCAGAGCAGGAGCCAGTGAGAATGGGACAACACTAACAGGTAGGAGCGGGTGTTCACCAGAGCCAGGAGTGCAGTTCCAGGGGCTTCTCTGCTGCCAGAGGACTTTTTCTGACTTATCTGTCCACTGTGTTACACTCATCCTGAAAGTCCCCTGGTAGTCTTAACTTGTTCAATGTACCAGATAAGGCCCCCCAGAATCCCTGTCCTGGACCCTCTTTGTTTTACAATAGGACAATTTAAATATCTCAAGAACAAAAAATGGACTGTCAGGCAGCAGTTAAGAGTGCAGGCTGCTCTTCCAGAGGACTCAGGCTGGATTTTCAGCACCCACAGAGTGGTCCATGTGGTCTGTAACTGCAGCTCCCTGGGAATCCAATGCCCTCTTCTGGCCTCTCTGGGTACTGCATTTATATGGTGCACAGACAAACATACTGGCAAAAGACCCACACACATAAAATAAAATAAATTTAAATCTAAAAAGAAAGAAAAGAAGGATGGCAAGTATAAACTTTTTTTTTTGAGACACTGTTTCTCTGTGTAACCGTGGCTGTCTTGGAACTTGTGCTGTAGACTAATCTGGCCTCAAACTCAGAGATCCATCTGCCTCTGTTTCCCAAGTGCTGGGACTAAATGCATGAGTCACCACCTCCTGACTAAAATTATAAATTTTAGGGCATGCAAGGTATGACTGCTTTCTCCTATGGGAAAGCTTCATAATAGTAAAATTGATGAGTGATTGTGCAAGACAAACCTTGTAAGATATTTCTTAGTCTGGCAATATATTGCATATATCCTGATAGATAACATGTCCCTAGCTAACTTCCAACCCAGGGGACAATAGTTAGCACTAGAGTACTTTGCTGAGGTGGATTTGAATGGCCACCCATCTTCTACAAAGCTCTGTATTTTAGCGGACTTGGGGGATGAAGAAGAGTTGCCCCTACTCTGTGTCCAGGGTGAGTCGCCTAAGCCAATCAGAGTAGGGCTGTGCCTCATCACAGAGTGATTGATTTAGGGGTGTCAAGTTCAGTCGGCCTTCAGCATCTTCCCACTGCAGTTATCAGACGCTCCAACCCATATGTTTTACATAAAAGAGCATGGCTAAGGGTATGGCTTACTTGGTAATGCGCTTGCTGCAAAAGGATGAGGACCCGAGTTCAGATCCCCAGCACTCATGTAAAAGCTGGGCATGGTGGCCCACATCTGTAAGGTAATGGCAGGGGGATCCTAGCTGTTTGCTGGCCAGACTAGCCAATCGGTGTGTTCCAGGTTGAGAGATCCTGTCTCAGAAAACAAGGCGGAGAGGGACTGAACAAGATATTTGATACAACCCTCCGGGAATCTACATGTATGTGCACACATGTGATGAACACCCACATGTATGTGCGTACATGTACACAGAATACAGTATTTTCACAGAGCCTACACCAACTTTTCCAAGAGCTTTAATCATTTCTAGATTACATAACACCCAATACAGTGCAAATCTATGTAGATAGTTGTCATAGTGTACTACTTAGGGAATAATAATAACAAAAATCAGATGTGGAACCCACAGAGACACAGTGACAAGTGGCATCTAAGCTGAAGCCGGGCAGTGCAGGGCATTCACCTGGGCGCCATGATAGGACCAGATTCATCACTTCAAGGCAAACTCTTCCAGGTGCCTGCAGCACTGCTGGGTACTGGCAGGCATCCTATGATAAGGAGGGAAGTCAGTTTGCAGTTTCATTACCACAGGAAGGAGGTCAAAGGCAAGAACACAGCCCGCAAGTGGATCTGCGGCCTGGGCTGGCTGTGTCCAAAGCCTGTCTTATTCCCGGTTTTCTCATTACGCAACTATCAACTTCCCGTAATTGTTTAAGTCAGTGCATGTTTTGTTCATCTGGAAACATCTTAACTCATACAATGGACTTCTAGAATCTTCTTGGTCTACGTATAAAACGCCATTCAACAAAAGTTGGAAATAGGCCTTTTCTAATATAGTATACTATAAATGACTTTTATTTTTCCAGTACTGGGGATTGAACCTAGGTATTCAAATATACTGAGCTCCTGCTCAGTCACTGAACTACATCCCAGCCCTATTTTTACTTTTTATTTTGAGACAGTGTTGAATTAACTTGCCCAGAATGGTCTTGAACTCATTCTGCAACCCTGGCATGCCTTGTATCCAGGATCCTCCTACCCCACCTTCCTGAGTGCTAAGATTGTCTTAACTCCAAGGCCTGGCTTAAACAATTTCCTTTGTAAAACAAAGGCAGTCCTTGAACTCAGGCTCCTCTTGTTTCTGCTTCCTGGGTGCTGATGTTACAGGTGTGTGTCATATGCCCAGCTTTTATTTGCTAAGAATTTGTATTTTTTTGCTTGAATATCTTGATTTGTTTCGCACAAGTCTTAAAAATGCATACTTAATTATAAAAATCACATCTATTTCCTGCTGGGACTCTTTGACCTTCTTACTTAAAAGATTTGTGTATATTAACTTCTCTTCAGACGTGGAACACATATATTTTTTTCTATCCAGTTGTATTTTTGACAAGCCTTTGACACACTGACCAGTCTTCCCCACATGCTTCCTGGCTTTGTTATAGTGAATAGAATCCAATTTAAGGGAGGAAGGATTGATCTTGACTCATGGTTTGAGAGGGTATGGTAAGATTGGTCCTTGCCTGATGGCATTGCATAGGCAACTATGAAGTAGAGAGAGCTTGGACCAGGCTAAATCCATAAAGTCCATTCCCAATGACACGCTTCCCTAAAGTCACCAGCTGCTGGGAGCCAAAGATTCACACACACGAACCTGTGGGGGGAACATATCACTTCCAAACTGTAACATCCTCCTTACTGGGCAGCACTCACAGAAGTCGGCCAGCTCCTATGAAGAAAACGCAGGTGCATAAGTCTCTGAGGGGCCTTGGGTGATCTAGCACTTTCCATCTTGCTTGCAATTCTTGAGCAGAATGTAGAGACTACAACAGCCAGAGATAAAGAAGAACTGTTTGAGCATCCCAAGCTTTGTCACAGGTTGACCGTACAGTACCAGCTCTGCCAGGAAAGCTGTGCCCACTCGTGCAATAGCGGCAAGACTGCTATAGGGTGGTCAACCACTTTTAAAATTAGATGTGAGGCCTGCTACACAGGAGGGAATTCATGCCTGGTACTGTAAACATGGTCAAAGATCCATGGCTAGGGAGGTCATAGGCCCTAGGGGAAAGCCTACTACGGCTCTTCTGCTAAATGGACGTGTTGTCAAACTGCCTTCTTAAATATTTATGTCTATTACCTTGTTCAGAGAAGCTACTCTGCAGTGTGCAGCAGTCAATTCCAAACTACTCCGAGTGCTGAGAATAAGTGACTATTGAGTACTCAGCCCTAAAGGAGACACCTGTGTTCATCCATTGTCCCCAAGGCTCGGGGAGCATCACAGGAGCGAGGGGAGACAGGATGCCAGAGCTGGAGAATGAGAATGAGCGCTGTATAATGGACAAGATGTGGCCATTACACTCACGAAGTCACAGCAGTTATGCTTACCCACACAAGGTAACAAAGCCAGTCAACACTGTTGCGCGCACGGGAGGGGTGCTCATAAAGTGTTACCCTAGCCGAGGAACTACTAACAAAGGAAGGCTGTTGGGAGGGGTTGTCATTTTTCTTTGGGAGTGTGGCTGCTGATAGGTTTCCCATGCTCTAGTGGATGACTTGCGATGGTCTGAATGAGAAATGTCCCTCGTGGGCTCATGTATTTGAAGACTTAATTCTCCGTTGGAGGTGCAGGCATGCTGGGGAAAACATGTCACTGTGGGTCAGCTGTGGGGGCTTTGAGGGTTTATAGCCTTGGCCACTTCCTGTTCATTGCTTTTTGCATCTGTCAGTTGAAGATATGATCTCTCAGCTTCAGGCTCTGGCTTCCTGCTGCTATGCCCTCTCCACCATGGTGGACTCCATTCCACTGGAACCATGAGCCGAAATAAACCCTGTCTTCCGTAAGTGCTTTTGGACCTGATGCTTTACCACAGCAACAAAAGGCAACTAACACATGGTCCTGTACCCACGTGCATGCCGGCGGCACTAACTGGACTCGGTGAGCAGCGGGAACAGTAGAGAGGGCAGGACGGTAGGTGGGGGGAGGGGGAGACTCGTGAAGGGAGGAGGAAGGAATTGGAGTGGGTGTGATTAAGATGTATCACATACAGGTGTGCAACTATCAAAGAATAAATGAAACAACGAGAGAACGAGGGGAGAGGCAATGAGAGAGGGGTGCAGGAAGAGAGATGAGAGCAAGAGAGTGAGAGAGCACACAGGGAGAAAGTACGGGGTGGGGGTGGGCACCATAGACCATCATCTGTCTTGGCCTGTCTTCAAACCAAAAGCTACCTCTATCCTTTTACAATTACACAAACCATTAAGTCCCTTTATGGTATGAGCCAATCAGAGCTGTACTTTTCCTCCCGAGGACTACCACCTCAGCTCAGGCCGACTTTGGTGGCAATAAATGGGATACTGCTAGAGACTCACCCTGAAGTATGGGAAAGGCTGGATGGAGTCAGGGACAGGTGCAGTGAGAAGGGCCTGTCTCTCACTGTAGGGGACTGAGGACCTTTGCTATGTTCTGAATCTTTGTAATGATCCGATAATGGCCCCAAAGGTTTCCATGGTCTAATCCTGGGACCATGGGTGTTCCTTCAGGGATTGAAAGCAGTTTTTAAGAATGATAAAACTAAGATCCTGGGTTGTCTTGGTATTAGCATAAGTAAGCACAGATCCTTGTTTTTTTTAATGTTTAACTTTTATTACTTTATTTTTAATATTTATTTTATTATTTTTAATATTTATTTATCATGTATACAGTATTCTGTCTACATGTATGCCTGCAGGCCAGAAGAGGGCACCAGACCTCATTACAGATGGTTGTGAGTCATCATGTGGTTGCTGGGAATTGAACTCAGGACCTTTGGAAGAGCAGGCAATGCTCTTAATCGCTGAGCCATATCTCCAGCCCCAGCACCGATCCTTGTAAGGAGATGAGAAGATACAGGGACAGCTGCAGAGGTGGAGTGACACATATTCAATCAGAGAGAGGAAGGGGCAAGGGACACAGGCGGCTCCAGAAGCTGAAAACAAAGCGAAGCAAAACAAAACAAAAACCCCACCAATCAACCAACCAAACACTTGCTGACACCCCCACTTTGTCCCCGTGAGTTGTGACATTCAACTCTGACCTCCAGTGCTCAAGAGAAGGCACGTGTCACATTCAGCTACGAGGTCTTTGGAAAGGAGAACAATGCGTGCGCCACAGCATCTCTTTACCTCAGTGTGAATTCTAAGAGCTGGGTGAGAAAGCTCCGCCAGGACCCTCTGCAGGAAGAGCTTGCCACGTGGAATGTACTAGCTCATTCTCAAGAGCCACCCGAGACAGGGGTGTCATGAGCCGGAACTGACCCGTGAAAGATCGGAAGAGGCAGGAAGTGCAACTTTGCAGAAAGAAGTCATTTTTGCCCCTCCCAGGGGGCTCTGCAGAGGCAAGGACGCATATGGAAAAGCGCAAAGAGCACAGCCACCCCGCTCAGTCTCAGGACCTGACTTAGTTTGCTTTTTATCTATTGCTGTGCTAAAGACCCCCACTCAAAGCGGCTTTGGGAGGAAAGGGTTCATTTCACCTTACAGGTCATAGTCCATCATGAAGGCAAACCAGAGCAGCAACACGAGGCCAGAGCCAGAAAGCAGGAAGTGAGGCAGAGGCCATGGAGGAGTGCTGCTTCCTGGCTTCCTTTCCATGGCTGGCTCAGCCTGCTTTCTTTTACAACCGAAGACCTTTTGCCCAGGGCTGACACTATCCACAGTGGTCTGGGACTTCTCACATCAATCATTAATCAAAGGAATGCCCCCCCTCCCCAAGACTTGCCTACAGGCCAATCTGATGAAGGTAATTCCTCTATCGAGATTCTTCTTCTCAGGTTTGTCTAAGTTTTGTTAAGACGACAAAACCCAACCAAAAACCAACCAACCAACCAACCAACCAACCAACCAACCAACCAACCAACCAA